TCATTCTGTTTCTTGTATCTTTCATTTGTTTTGTTTTACCAATGTCCCTTTGTCAGTACACCACGAAGAACTAACACTAAAATATTTACATTTTTCTCTCCACGAACAACTATAACAACTCAGAATGTTTAAAAAATAGTTTTATGTTTTCTGTTCATTTTCCATTAATTATGACGCAGGGGAAAGTGGTAAAAAAAATGTTGAAGTCGTGTTTTCAGTGTCCAGCTGCCACCAGTGACGTCACTATCCATTTCACGTCTTTTGTTATTGTCTGCCAGCTAAGGCCTTCGAAAGGAAGGACGATTAATGCTGAGAGCCGGCGGGTTTTCGCTGTTTGTTGGATAATGGTTGCTTCTCTCGGCTCGTATTGGTTTCGTAGACCACCTCTAAGCGTGGAAACAGCACAAAGATCTTATCTAAGTCTCGTTTAATTTTACGGGCGGTTGACTAGTTGAAATTCAGTGAGATGTGCTCTGCTTAGGAGCAAGTAGTTGGAACTGGAATCCTCAGGTAGTTCCGGGCAACAGTTGATTTGAGAACTAAATGTCGAAAATGGCCGAAATTTTTACAAATGTGGTGTCGGCGTACTGACGTGTTAGCCTGCCTTTTGCAACTGAGCCGTGATAAATAACAATAAATAACAATAAATAGAATCAAGAACAACAAACTTAATCAAAGAACACATTAATAAAATAAACAAATCAATAATAAAACATAAGAACAACAACATCCTCGACTTATCTACGTTCAACAGGTATCTCTGCTCTCGCGAAGAGGTCTGCTGTACGTCATGCTCTACTCAATCAAGTAGGTGGTCCAGATAAAGGATAAGGCCATTTACAAAGGAACCATCCCAACCTGACCCTATTAATTTTAATAATTTTTGGATATGTTATAATACTCAAAAAAATATTCGACATGTGTTTTTTTTTATCGGCTGGCATCCTTTTTGAAGAGGTGAAATCCACCACTGAAAACTACCTCAAAAAAATTTTACTATACTTCTTTTTATTATACCTCTGCATCTAATGAATATCTTGGTGCTAAAGTTATATTAGTAGAAGCACTTACCTATAAGAAATATTTTGGCATTGATTTTATTTAAAAATATTTATTAGATGCAGAGATATATTAAAAAAAAAAAATTTTCGCGGTAGTTTTCAGGGTTGGATTTTACCTTTTAAAAGAGGATATTAACCAATAAAAAAAAACACATGTCGAATATTTTTTCGCGTATTACAACATATTCAAAAATTATTAAAATCGGTGGGATCGGGTTGGGGTAGTTGCCTTGTTAGATCACACATCTGGAGCTCGAACCCCGTGTTGTTTTCTCGGTCTGCCTCATCAGGTCGTTAAACTTTTGATTATATTCGAAAATGTATACCCACGGTCTACCTAAAGTCGAATAACTTAATGTTATTTCCCATGTTATGCAAGAACCATTTTATTCACATTAGGCACACCGTTACTCGATCGCAACCTGCACTCACAAAAATCACAAGGCTAGTCAGTAGGTCGATTGAGTTGCGCAACAAGAGAGAAAAAAGAATGGCCAATTCGCGTACTCCCGCTCAATACCCAAAACTCAGTGACGTACTTACAGTTTTACCGAATTTCGATGAGAGAAGATTAAAAAGTAGAGAGACAAATAGACCTAGTCGCGATATGCTTCCTCTTTCCCTTGCTGGCACAAAAATTATTTTCTTCAGTTCGTTCACTCGGTAATCAAGAAGGAATCACATCTGCACTTATACGACGTTCACAGGAAATAGGCCGCCAAGCGCGGCGTTTTGTCGCTTTTGTCTTTCCATATCTTTTTCGCGTTCTCGCATATTAGTGTCAGGTGTAGTCATTAGGTTATTAGCGCTGCTCAATCTATGTTTTTATCTCACGTAATTTTACTACTGGTTGTTATGACAACGCATAGTTATCCTATCAGTCGGCTTGCCCTAATCCGTCTAATTGGTCAGTCGTAAAGCGCGAGATTGTCATCTTTGCCTCATCTATGTGCTCTAATTTCTAGCCGTCTTATTTATACTCATGCTTTGCCTTTTCCACTTACGCTCTCTAACTAGTCGTCTCACTCACACTCACCTGCTCCCTTTCCCACTCACCCTTCCTAGTAGATTAAATCGGAAAATTCAAATTCTTTTTAAATATTAGCTGTTGTGTCGATTAACCGATAAACCGGTTTTACCATGTTTCACATAAAATAAACGAGAAGTCGCGTGCACGTAAGTTCGGGCGGATGAATACTTTGAGTATGCGGAGTGGCGAATTTGGGGCACGTGATTTTCCTGTAATGGCTCACATAATGGTCTGACATAGTACATTTAAATGGTTGAAGATGATCACAAGAAATACCACTAATTAAATTAATTCTTCTTGAAGTTACGAGTTCAATGTGTACAATATGGATTTTTTTTCAAAAATATTTATAAATGCATTGATGTTAAAAATATCGATGCCATTAGCAATAGCTCGGTCTTCTGTTCGTTTTACTATAACTCCAATGTCATCAATAGCACATTATCCGTGACCCAATCAGAAAAAAGTATGTGTAATTGTTTTATTTGATGGAAACTTTTTTTGGTAGATATAATGCAAGATAAAAATTATTTTTATTTCTACATTGCATTGTTGGCGAGTCACTAACAATATATAAATTCGTAATTTCCATATATTTAGAAAAAATGGACTGAAGATGTACAATGATTGCGGCAGAATCATGCTATAGCGAAAAAGGAATTGTGCAAAAAGATTTACAGAAATTTTTTGAGAACAAAACACCAGTTGTAGAGTTATTTGCTCACAGGAAGCTCTGAAATGTCCTGATTGTGGTTCCCGCCTATACTTATATAAATAATTTTACGCAAAATCTATATGCAGTATCATATTCGCATCAGTCATTTTCTGTTTTAATTTTCGAAAAATGTCCTGCTGATGATAAATTTGGGCAATGCTACGATGCTATGAGACATTAAATCACAAAATATTGTCTAAAAAATTTCCATGCTATCTGTAATTTTTTCATTATTTTTATCTATATAGTGAATTGTACAATGATTGGTTTATGAGTTTTACTGCTGATTCTTTTAATTTTTCCCATAATATTTTTGTAACTTTTTTTCCGCGGAAAACGGTAAATATTTTACAGTTTTATTTTTATACTGCTTATAACTTGTTAATAAACATATAACGCTGTTCGCTTTACAGCACACTTGTTCAATCAAATGTAACACAGTGTGTTCTGATATTATATTATTATAATAAAATACAGTAATAAACAACTTCGTATTTTCATGTATAAGACAAAGAAACGTTCGGTATCACAGCCAAAAAAGGAGGTAGCTTACAGAAATAAGCTAAACTTATTGTATGTGTGCTTTCTTTCAAAGATTTTTCATGTAAATATATTAAAAAAATTACACAAATATCTTTTCTGCATTTTAACTTTATGTCTCGTAATAGTTGCCTTTTTATCTGGTACTATATAACTAATATGATTTCTAATAACAAATTCTAAACTTCAGTTTTAAGCGATGAACTTTTATTTTTTGTTTAGAAATAGAATAAATAGAATTTTATTTTATAAATTTACGCAGTATTTTCATTGGTAAAATATATTTGCATTGATTGAACATTCTATTTTGATGTAAAATTTCTCCTTAAAAGTACTTGTAAAAAATTCTTATGTGTTTAACTTTCGTTTGAACTATTACTAACTAACTATTAACTTTTAAATTTAATTATATAAATAAACTAAACTTAAATTTTAACTATTAACTATTCAATTACTAACAGTCCCCTAAACATTATGCTATGCATTATATCTAATGTAATGATAATTAAGATAATTTAGAAGTTTTAATTTTTTCCCTTTGAATTCATTTTTTTTATTTTGTAATAAAACTCCATCCACAATTTTTGTCTGTGGAAGAGCAGCATCTTTAGTGCCAAGATAATTATTTGGACATCTTACAATGTAATCTATGAATAAGATTAATATCATGAAACGTTTAATTATTTTTGTGAATGTACTGCGCGAACAACATCAGGAATAGAAATTTTAGAACTCGACGCTGGGAAGTCGACGGAATTACGATTTCGGCTTTTCTCTTATTTTATGTGGTCTAAAGCAATACTCGACTTTATATATAGAAAAATTGCATATTTACACTGATTATGTAACTGAGAATGATATTTCCACTTATTTTGACAATGACTCATAGCCTGAAAATCAGCATGTACATGTGACGTACGAGTTTTATCTACTTAACTACGGTAGTATGGTATGATGGTACATTCAAAAATAGAAACACTTGCACTGAATCCCGCAATGGTCATTTGTCTGCATAACGTGTCGCGCGCTGTTGCAGCTTAATAGCTACTTCATGCCTACCCTCCTGCGACTCACTGCCGCGATTCTTAATTATTGACACAATGTTTTAAGTTCTACTCAATATAATGTAGTTTTGTTACTTAATCACTTATTACATTACTTATATGTTGATATTAGTTATTTTTGTAAATATAGTTTTAACTGAAAACTCTACTGATATTTTCTTACGTAATTGTAAGTATGATTCTGACTGTTTTTTTCATATATATTAAACTTTCAGATTATAAATATATTTTTTTTATATCCTATTAGTAAATTAGTTTCTCAAAGGCTGATAACGTAGATCAGTGTGACGTTGACAGAAATTTATATTGTATTTATTAATTTAAGAGTTTATCTTCTGTATTGTTAATTTGTTGTTATAAGCATGGATAACATAAACTATGTTAAGATAAATCATAGGCTCAGATATTTCACTTTGAGTTTTATAACCATCTATTGTGAATAAGCAATTTGAAATTTGAGAAAATTGATTCATTAAATCTTTCATGACATATGGATTTAGATAGTTTTGTGTTTGTTACTTTATAACACGTGTCGCTTTTTACATGTCTTTATAACTGTATAAATAAAATTTATTTTTTATAAATTTCAGGTCTAAAATTGAAACATGTACCAACAGACATATGGAGTATCCGTGAACAATTGTGCCTAGCATCGAGTGTTTTAAAATCTGGTGACCAAAATTGGATTAGCGTGTCTCGATCTTTGAAAGCTGTTGGAAATAAAGATTTAAATAGATCATCCGATTGGTTTTCGCAAAAATCTTGTGCTCAACAATATACTTGCTTGTTAGAAACTGTTGATATTCCCAAAAGAAAAAAGAGAGAAGGTGGAGAAACTACTAGCGAATCTATTGTAAGGCGTTTAACTCAAGATCGAATTGCTGAAATATCTAAGATACTTTCTACCCAACGTGACGAATATCAACAATTAAAGAATGAAATATGTTTATTAAAAAATGGAACTATTTCTCTCGAAAAATTACAGAAAATGTGTTACGCCATTGAACAAGAACAAAAAGAACTTGCCCATAATTTTAAACCTCAATTGAATATATCGACAAAACAGATTAACAATTATCACGTACCTATTTTACAGCAAACATCAATTCAGAAAGATGACAATAAAGTGAGTGAATTTTCAATAGTAGATGAAGAAGTATCAAAATTTCGTAATGACAATGATAATCGAAAGAACAATGTAGAGCAATCGTCTCTCTTAACAAGTTTGTTGAATTCATCAAATCAAATGACTCAACTACAATTGCAAACTCAATCACAAAATACTCCTACCATAGCAAGCCTTTTATTCACTAGTCCAAAAGTATCTCTATCAGATAACTTGCAGAATATATCATCTCAGTTGAATCAATCAGTTTGTGATTCTATTTCTAATAACATGCCAATCATTGCTCCAACATTATCTAAGTTATTGGAACAATCCACAAATGAGCAAATAAGTAGAACGCAAGATATTCGTCCTTCTTCCATTGAGTCAAAAAATTTGAGAAATGCCACACATGTGCAAAATAAACGAACACGATTGACTAAATTAGGACAAGAAAATAATATACAAACAGTACAAAAATCTGAAAGTATTTTGAGTCAAGAAACAATACATATTGAAACAGATAAAACTACACCTGTTTCTATTGATAACATTGTACAAGAAACTTCAACAATGAATAAAGATGAAATTAATGAAATTATTGGTGATATAGAAGAAATTATTAAAGAAGAAATAACGAGCGGTCCACAACGTTTCAGCTCAACATTAAATAAAATAGCACCGATAGTAAGTTCAAATATATTACCTCCCTTAAAATCCATAGAACGCACAGAACCTAGAAATGTTGACGACTCAGCATCTCTGTCTAATTCTCCAACAAGTGAAATAGCTATTGAAGAGATAGATTCTAGCAGTTCTAATATTGCAAAAATAATAGGAACAGCTGTAGAAACAATTGAATATAAATTCGGTGCTTTTAATCCATGTAGTATTAAAGAGCAAAGATCAACGTTCTTAGATGATACTGATAACGACGATAAAGAATTAAGTGTTAACTATGTAGTATCACAGAAAACCCCAAATATTTATCAAAATTATAAAGGTAATAAATCCGATAATTTAGAATCTATAATAAAATTAGAATCTGACGATTCAAAAATATTACAAACGAATACGATTCTTAATAATGTAATAACGAACAAGAATGAAATCGTAACTGAAAAATATTCTCCAGATAATTTGCTTATAAATCAAGAGAAAAATTATGGTTTTGATTCTGGTATAATCAGTAATAAAGAATTCAATAACGAAATTGATAACATATTAGAAGAAAATGTTCCCATACAGCAAACAGATAAATTAGGGAAGACTGTAATAAGTAAAAGACTTTGCTCAGATATTGTAGAGGTAAAGTATTTTAATTAATTGAATTATCCAAACCTTTATCTCATTATGTATTTATTGTTTATGATTTCTCATTTGAGTCAATACCATTTTTTTGTATTCTTAAAGAATTACAAATTCCTAGTATATTGCAGCATTTAAAACAAATTTAGTTTTTGAATTGAAATAATAATAACAATAATAACGATAATAATTACACTTTCAAAAGAATGATAGATGAAAATTTATTTATTCAATCGCCTACCGTTTGAATCGTCTTAGAGATTGCGACTGGGGAGAGAGAGAGGAAAAATAAGCAGTAGTCAGTTTCCCGGTCTCGACTGCCGCCAGCGGCGCAGTTAGCCGAGGTGTGTAGCTTTGTTTAGTTGAGTTGGGCGTCAGCTACCGTGCTCTCGCGTTAGGAGAAGAGGTAGCGCTGCAACGTCGGCTGTCGGGTCCTGGTCGCTATGGTTGTCGGGTGGTTTCCCTGCTGTCTCCTTCCTCGTCGAAGTCGTCGTCGTACGCCGATCTCACGCGGGCTATCACCTGTGAGAGATGAAAGGGGGAGCACGAAATCCTATACGTAAGTCGTTCGGATAGGGGGGAGGAAATACCGAATGAAAGAGAAAGGGACAACGGGTGGTTTTTAGCCACCCACGGGTGCGGCTCGTCCGGCTAATCAGGTGTCGTTCGGGGCACTAGGCTCTCGCCTCGGGAACGGGTACATCGAGGGGCATCACAGGGGCGCCTCGTTAACGGATCAGTAGCCAGGAGAGAGGCTCCCTCCAGTTCCTCGTCGACTGATGGCGTGGTTCACGCGACAACGGTTATTGGGCTGGGCGGCAATCAAGTCGTTCGCATGCGCGTTCGTTAATCTTGGGACCGATCGCGATAGCTACGGGGGATGAGGTTATCAAGAGGGTAAAGTCATTAATAAAGAATAATTAATAAAGACTCGAGTTTATTAGACTAACTTATCCCTTGGGTCAGCCCAGTGGTCAGCTACTCGCGATGGTCTGCCTGATCTAAATTAATAAGGGCACGAATGGCGTACCGTGACGCAACGTCGACTTGGGCGGACGATGGCTGGTGCGAACGGTCTTGATGGGTTGCGAACGCGCGGTTATGCAATACTCAAACTATCTACTTCGCGCACTAGCTCAGGAATTTATTTAAGTAAACACGTGCGCGCGGGATCGGTCGGTCGCACGAAGGTCAGGCTATTCAATCGACATTACTAACATCTCGAAGCAATAATCCTATAGTGAAAAACAAGAGCTAATAATGCGCACATAGAACTCATCGGTCGAACGAAGGTCAGACACGACTCGCGGAACATCCGATCGGCTTCACACAAAGGAATTCGTCAACGTGGGTATGCGACTTGTCGCCCGCGCGAAGGTCGTTCGGCAATCAACGGGTAATTACAAAGGGAATCCACGACAACTAGCGTGCACGGGTGAATCGGCCGGTCACGTAAAGGTCAAGCTTTATCTAATCGGACGGCAACTTATGCGGGAAATCGTTCCAATAAATCGGCAATAATTACGCGGACGCGGACAATTACTTTACTCACAAAACGGAAAAAGGCTCGTTTTTAATCGGCAACTCGTTAAAGTTAGGCGGAGGTTTTACGGGACATAGACGCGCGCGCGTGAAAAACTCGTCTTCGATATTAAACGGCAACGGCGCAACAACGAACTTTGCCCGAGAGATCGGTGACGAAAATGTGCGCAAGTAAATCGGTCTGGCGCGCGAAGGTCACACGGCACTTCCGAAAACACGGACGTTTAAGCGGTCGCGCGAAGGTCATGCGGCACTCCCGATAACACGGACGTTCAACAAACGCGCGATTAAATAAAGGGATGAGCGTACTTACTTGGGCGCCTTTTCGATATGAACGCGACTGCGGCTACCGCCGCTAAAGCCGCTGTAGCTGCCGCTACCGTGGTTGCTGTCGCTCCTGCCGTTGCTGCTGTTGCTACTGCTGCTACCACTGATCTGCTTCTGTTGCTTGCTGCTGCTGCTTCTCGCTTGCTTGCTGCTGCTTCTCATTTGCTTGCTGCTGCTTCTCGCTTGCTGCGCTGCCTCTGTTGCTTGCTTGCTGCTGCTTACTAGTGCTGCTCACACTGTTACTGCTACTCACTCGCGGGTTTAGGCCTGGTTCGCTCCAGAGTCTAGCGGGACGTCTGGCCGGCACCAGGGCTGAACGAGTACTGGTGCGGCGTTTTTGGCGACGCGCCGCTTCTCCTTGCTTACCTCTCCTTAACGGTTATGTGATTGGTCTGCTTGTTGCTAAGCTGGGTGTTAGCGCCGTCTATATCGGTATTCCTTGCATAATTTCGTCATTGGTCGAGTTTTGGCGCCTAATTTCCCTACTGGTTGCGAAGATAGCGTCGGTTTTACTCCATTTGTCTAGCTACTCCTAAGCTGATAACGATTGGCTAGTCCGTTAGCGTCGCTTGCCTATCCTTGTCTGTCTACTTCTCGTTGGTCTTACCGGTTCCCCTCACTCGCGTCCGATCGGTCTCGTATCGGTTGTCTCGCTCGCTCTTACGCGCTCGGTTGCCCCTACTTCGGTCTAACCAGGTCTGCCTTAGTTAACGGGGGCTTGCGATCAGCTGATTACAGCTGGAATCTTTAAGGGCTTCCAGCTTCCTGGGGGAGTGTCGGACCGGGTCGTGAGTGTGCGAGGGGTTGTACGCGGGCGTAATGGTCGTGCGCATCGGTCGGGAAGACTTCGGGGGACCATAGGTCGCGAGATCTGGACATGCGTGGGCGGGTATATGCGGCAATAGCCGTTTGGCCGCACGTTTCTAGCAGGAGCTGGACTAGCATAAGGTAGCATAGATTTTTCTGTGATGACGCGTCATCACAAGATATATAATCCATTGACATCATGAGCTCTTATGAGCCTTCAATAAACTATTTTAAAAAGTCAATGTCATCTTTACGTAAAATTAGTGTGTAATCGTATTACCTATTTAGCTGGGAAATATACTTATTTCAGTCGTGCTCTTCCCGGCCTTCACATTTCCAATTACACAGCCCCATAAAATAAAAAGTCAAGACCAGCAAGTCAGATCAGTATACCCCTATGTAATTTTAGGGACTGAATCCGATTTGAATATCCTTAACCTTTTAAGGACGGGAATTTTTACGTTAAAATTTGACTTTTTTTGCACAATATTTGTGCATAAAATGAAAGAATATGTCACGTGGAGTGCCTGACAAAATTGGTGGTCGATATATCGACCAGTCCCGTCCTTAAAAGGTTAAAAAATGTATTACGGCTCAAAAAACATCCATTTACAAGAGATGAACATAGTATTAAACACTTGATAAAGTTATTTGACCAAAATTTTAACAAAGGGTAGTCTAAATTAAAATCGAAGACTAGCATTCATGCAATAGATCTGAAATTTATCCTACTTAAAAGTTCAAGCCATCCCTATAGTCTAGAGGCCACAGGGGGTTTCGTGGTCGATCGGGGTTCCCCGGAAAACCAAAGCTGACTAGATGTATTTTAACCTTCTGAATTTAAATCTGCAAGGATTTTTGCGATAAGAGGTGACCTTCAAATGTCATTAACAAATTAAATATTTAAACAATCATAACTATTCTCCTAAACAAATTCTCATTTCAAAGAGCATATCGATTGATCGTATATTTAATGACAAATCCGTCGATTTTTTCAGATTTGAAAAATATTGATAAGGACCGGAGATATCGTAATTAATCTAAAAAAAGTCGTGATAAAAAAAAATTTTATTGTTTACGTATACATTTTTTTCTGAATAAGCTAGGAATCCCAGTAAAGTTTTAAAAGTTTTCTCGTTTCATCGATAATGCAATAATTTGTGAAAATTAAAAAAATATTGATTAGGACTGGAGTTATCGTTAATTAAGTAACAAAAACGGGTGAATTTTCAAAAAGTATTTGTGCAAACCGCATCACCTTTTTTCCCTAGGAAGTGACAGATGTAACAAATATGTCAAATGATTACCTATTGAATGACAAATAGCTACGGTTTTTTTCAAAATGTAACAATATTAAGTAGAATCAAAGATACAGCGAAAAAACTGATCTTGGCGAATACTTTGCATTTATTTTAGCCATAGAAACAAAAAAACATATATAACGGAACTCCGTATGACGCTAAAAAAGTGCAGTTTACAGTTTGTTATTCTAGGTAAAATGTTGCAAAATACGAATTATTGTTTACAAAAGAAGCTGCATTGAAGGAAGCTTGTGCGTGCCTACGGCGAATAATGATCGGCGGCTGGTGCGCTCCTTGCGCTCATGCGTTATTATATTATTATTCAATCTTTTCTCTGTATCTTTGGTTCTACTTGATATTTTTATATTTTGAAAAGAACTACCTATTTGTTATTCAGTAGGAAATCGTTTGATGTATTTGCTGTACCTGTCACCTCCTAGGGAAAAAGGTGATGCGGTTTAAGCAAATACTTTTTGAAAATTCACCCGTTTTTTTGTTAGTTCATTAACGATAATTCCGGTCCTTATCAATATTTTTTAAATTTGAAAAAAATCGACGGATTTGTCATTGAATATAGATCAATCTATATGCTCTTTAAAACGAGAATTCGTTTAGGAGAATAGTTATATTCTTGTTTAAATATTTAATTTCTTAATAACATTTGAAGATCACCACTTATGGCAAAACACCTTGCAGATTTAGATTTAGGAGGTCAAAATACATCTAGGAAGCCTTGGTTTTCCGTGGGACCCCGATCGACCACGAAACCCCCTGTGGCCTCTAGACTACTATAAGGTCGAGAATACCGCTATGTTTGTAAAAAATTATAAACTGCGAAAAAATAAAATTTTCAAAAGAATCACACATAAATTAATATCAAGCAGTACGTTCATGAATTAGACGTGTAATGAACTCTTCTTATGGGTTAAAACTACCCTAAACTTTTATTTATTAAAAAAAATCACTGTAACTGCTAAGACTTCTACGAACGGAGAGAATGTTACATATTAGTTTGGTATAATT